CCCAAAAGGGGGAAAAAGGGCGGACGTTTTCACCCCCAATTTAAAGCAATTCCCCCCACCCTCCCCCAATAAGAACAATTTCTTGGGGGGGGGGGGCGCCTTTTTGGATCCAAAACTTTTTGGCCAACCCCAAAAAGGCCCAGAGAGGGGGCTTTCTCCAAGTGGTCCCCCCCCGGGAGCCAACGTCATGGGGGGGGGGGGGGGGGGGCACTCGCAGTCCTCCTGAGTGGGGGCGTGGCTGCTGCCGCTGCACAGGTCGGAGTCCACGAGGGGGAGATGAACCTGTCCGGATCGCTGACGCGGCAAAAGGAGGAGGAGCTGGCGGTGGGGGACGTGGCGTCGCACGTGGCCAACATGGGCCGCATGGTGGAGGAGATGGAGAGCCGCATGCGCGACACGCCGGTCTCCCCACCTCTCCCAATCTCTGCTCATCTCTCTCCAGGAGATGGAGAACCGGATGCGCGACACGCTGCAGTCGATCTACTTTGGCTCGCCGCGCCGCCGCCGGCCGCCGCCGCTCTCGAAACGACGACGTCACGCGGGGGGGTGCGGTCGAGACTAGGCAAGACGAAGAGCGTCGTCAACGGCCTCTACCAGTCGGGCGGTGCCGAGGCCAACAAGAAGAAGGATATGCTCGCTCAGGCGTCAGGCCCCGCGCCCCCCCCAGTGTTGGACGGCCCGCCGCGCTCACCCACACCCCGCCCGCGCCGCACCGCGCCCGCAGGCGCTCATGGCGGAGATGGGCAAGCGGAATGCGGACTGAAGAGGCCTCCTCGCGCCGCCTATCTCCGCCACGTTCGGAGAGGTGCGAGGTGGTGCGAGGGCCTCAGGCTGAGTCAGCGCGGAGCGGCCAGTGCGTGGGCCGTTGGGATGGGGCTGGCTGGCGCAGGTAGGAGAGTCGTTAAGTATGTTGTTGGTGGCGCGAGGCAGCGGGACGCTGCGGCGGTTTTGCGCAGACCGCATGCGCGCATCGCGCGACATTGACATATTGGGGGTTTATCTGCGGGAGGCGGCGTACCGTACGTGTGTGTGAATGGTTGTGCTACGTTTGCGAAAAGGACATGTCAAAAGGTTAGCTTCCTACTCGCTTACGTCCGGCCCGCGCCTTCATCTCACCGTCCCCTCCTTCCGCCGCCCTCCCCACCACGAGCTCCTCCGCTGACAGCGGTGGCTGATACCCCGGCTGGTCAGAGGCGAGTGGCGCGAGCGAGAGAGTGATGCTGATGATCGGTTGGCGGCAGCCGGCGCTGCTGCCGCCTGGCTCGCTGAGCCCGATGCGTGTGCATTGGTGCAGCCCGGCAAGCCGGCGCTTGGTGATCTCAGCCACCGTCACCGCCTTGCTCACCGCCGCTCCCACGGCACTCAGCCGCACCTCACCCCTCGGAAGCGCCTCGAGCGTGGTGCTCACAAAGTCGTGAACCTTGCCACCCGAGGTGACCCGGACGTCGAGCGAAGCTAGGTCCTGGCTAGAACGAATACTGTTCGCTGCAGAGACTGCGTGAAGCGTCGCGCCTCTATAAACGGAAGAATTTAATAAAAGAGCTCCCTCGCACAACACTGGGCACGAGTGGACCTGAGCAATAATATGACTGGGTGGCAAATGATAGCAGTGGGCGTCAGAAGACTCGTCCTTGCTCGAGGAGAGCTCGATAGACTCGAGGGGCCAGGATATGCAGCGAGGAGGGCGGAGCTGCGCCGAGCAGCGAGAGCAAGGGAGCGGCAGGCGGCGGCGCCGTCGCAGGACGAGGCAGAGGAGAGCGACGCGACAGAGGAAGAAGCGACAAGGGAGACCACGACGAGAAGGGGGCGACCGCGAGGTGGCACGAAGGTTGAAGCGAGAATCGGCGAGAGACTGCGAAGAGAGATAGGAAGAGGCGGACGCCCAAGGGTGGGCGACGGCTAGCGCACCACACCCCTCTCCTTAAAATCCCTGTGTGGTGGCGGCGTGCCGTCCTCCCATCCCTCCCTTGGGTTGTCCGTTTTCTTTCTTTCTTTACACTGGGCACGGGACTGGCGCGCACTGGCACTAACACAGGTACACCACGGGAGCCGCCTAAGCGACTCCTGCGAGGGCGGCGAGGCACTTAGCTCCGTGCACCCGCCCGCCCCCGCCACAGGCAAGCTCATTCACAAGGCAACCTGCTCTGCGATTGAAACGGAAAAAGAATTTGACCCGGAGCTGGAGCGCGCGCGGGGGCGGCGGGTGTGCGGGATGTCTGGGGGCCCGAGAGCGATGGGCCGCACCCGGCGCGAGCGCCTGCAGGCGGGGCACGTCCAGCAAGTTGGCGGGTGGGCAGCGCCGAGCGGGGGTACGACAACAACACGCTTCAGTGTCTCTCAGACCGACCGGCAGCGCCAGAGCCGACACCGGAGGAGTTACGGTGAGTTCAAGTCGAGCCTCACCGCGCTCGGCTTTCGGCCTTCGCTGGCTTTTTTTCATCATCGACATCGTCGCCGGCATCGTCTCGCTCGTGCTCGGCGGTAGCCTTTCGCGTGGGAGCCAAAGGGCTTCGACGAGGATGGCTCTCTCCTCCAAACGATGCGACACCCGTCTTTGTTTGGCTTCACGCCCACACAAGCCGCCGCCAGCGCCCTGAGCAGCTGACGGCATGAATAAAAAATGCTGTGTGGCTGAATTGGATAGAGCCTGTACGACGGCTCTCGACAAGACACGCTCGACTGAAGAACGGTACAACGGGTGACAAGCCGTCTAAGGCTGTGTCGGCTCTAACAGTAAGCACAAGCACTGGATTCTGTCTATAACGGGACAGAACGGAGTTGCTGTGCTGGGGGCGGACACACGTCGGCCGCACGGCCCATCCCTGCCATGCTCTCCCTGCTAGAGTATTGACATTTTCACTAGGCGGAGCAAGCCACCGCTGCTTCGCTCCTCGCCGGGAGTGGTGACTGGTCGAGACCCTGCTGCGTCGGCTGTGGCCCAACGAGTGGGTCTCCAGGACGCCAGCGCTCCTGCTCGGTGAGGTGCTCGGCCTTGAAGGTGCGATAGAGGTGCTCCTGCCCAAGCACGCTCGGCGCCTGCAGGCCAGTTTGAAACAGGGTCTCCTCCACAAGCGCGCGCGGGGGGGGGGGGGGGGCGGTGGCACGCCTCGCGAAACGTGAGCGAGAGACGCGCGCGCTGCTCAACAGGCATCCACGTGGGGGACCGCTCGAGATCAATTGAGAGCACCGCGTGCTTGATGAAGCGGCAGGGCCCGCCAAATACCAGTGCGTCGCCGCTCCGCAATTCGATGACGCGCCGCTCGCCCGTCACGACAGACTCGACCCCAAATTGGCAGGGAGCCCCGAGAGAGAGGATCACGATGGGAGCGTCACCGTCGCCGTCGTTGCGATAGATGTCGCGGTGCCACACGAGGCCAGAGGTGCTGGAATACCTGTCGGGAAAGTCCGGGGGAAGGGGCAGTGAGCGCCTCGAGGCCATGCCGACAGAACTAATTTCCACTCGTGTGCACACAGGCTTGGGGCAGACGCGCCGGGGGAAGGGGCAGTGAGCGCCTCGAGGCCATGCCGGCAGAACTAATTTCCACTCGTGTGCACACAGGCTTGGGGCAGACGCGCGCTGCGGGGACGGGAGAGCACCGCACCTGTTGGCCAGCAGGTGGGTGGGGAACATATTTGGCATGGCGGCGTCGGCCTGGCTGGCACAGGTAGAGGCGCACACGCAGGCAGCAGTCGCCGCAGCGTCAAACGCCTCGACACGGTCATACACCCGCTCCCGATTGGCAGTCTCCGCCGGGAGGAATCTTGAGCCTCCAACGGCACGAAATAAGGTTTGCTGCTCTGTTTCCGCCAATGCTGCGCGTATGACTACGAGACCCGGCTCGATGACTTTGGAGCGCCCAGTCGGAAGGTAGGCGTCGGGCAGGCGGTAGGCGTCCGGCACGCGGCTTGGGGACATGAATGCGATTCGACCTGTTCGCCTTGGCACGGGGACGCACGTCAACAGTTACGGAATTCAAGGAAGTTTGAGGGCCTACGCCTGTGTGCCGCCCCACCTGGTGGGGGTGGGCACCTCCGCAGATTCCTATGCACTATTGAAACAGAACGTTCGGATCGCTTCTCATCGCAAACCCTGCCAGCAGTTCACCCTCGGGTATGTTCGTAAGCGCTAGAGCTACATACACTGAAACAGAGCAAGGTGAACTCCGCTAGTGAAAAGCGAAGAGATTAGGGCGGGCCACCCTTAGAAAAAGAATTTAACAGAAACAACTCTCTCGAAAAAAGAAAGAGTAAAGCTGAAGGACACCCACTCCGCACCCTCTGGGCCCCTCTCAGTTCGCTCCTCCAGGTTCCTTCGCCAGGTTCCTTGCGATGGGCCGCAGCGCCGATCCGACGCGCGTTCTGGTCGTGTACGGCTCGGAGTCTGGCAACGCACGAAGGGGTATCACAAAAATCGTCAATAAGTGGAAAGAGAGCGGGGCCGACTTCACCATCGAGGGCATCGTCGCTGGCAATAGCCTCGGGCAGGACCTGTCCGAGCTCAAGAGCCGCTGCGACGTCCTCCTCGTCTCCTGCTCCTCTTTTGGCGAGGGCGACCCGCCGTCCAACTACAACCACTTCCTCCTCGCCCTCTACCGAGCTGCAGAGGCAGGCGGGTCGCCGCTCGAGGGCGTGCAGCACGCGGTCCTTGGCTACGGCGCGTCGGTGTACGAGACGTTCCAAAACTGCCCGCGCCTCACCGACAAACTCCTCGAGTCGTGCGGCTCTCGCCGCCTCGCGCAGCGCGTCGAACTCGACGAGGGCTCCGAGGACGACCCGGTCGTGCGGCTAAAGGGGTTCGAGACGTCGGTGTACGCCGCGCTACAGAAGCTCCCCGCCGCCCACGCGCCGCACGCGTGCAAGTGGGACCAGCCCTGCGGCAAGGTGGTTGAGAAGAGCGAGGAGGACCTGCTCGAGGTGGCCGCCTTTGGGACGGGCGAGGAGGGAGACGGCAGGATGGGCGCCATGGCCTTCGCGGGGATGGCTGTGGCGGTCGGCCTTGGCCTCGCCGGGTACAAGCTCCGCGAGCAGCTCCGGCAAGCGGAGGCGATCTAGGCCACCCTCTTACGCTCGCCTCCCTACACTCCTCGAGGCTCCGCGGTGGTTCGGGCTCGCCTGTTGCGAACCTGGCTGTGAGATACTGTCGTAGTGTGTACCACGTCGCTATGCGCGCGCTATAGTTCGAAGATTTGAGCGCATATTAATCGAACCTGTGTGTAGAAGTGGCTTGGCTCATTCATTTCATATTGGGGACACGCAGAAGCGAGAGAAGGGGAGCAACTGCATGACGCATGCACACGTAACATGTTGTCATAAAACAAGATGTGTGCGCCGGTCGCGGCCTCGCGCGCGTCTGGCTTTGGGGTCCCGCTCCGCGCGCTACGGAGAGGTCCGCGCAGTCAGCTTGCGCCCTTGCCGCTGCGCCTCCACGAGAAGGCCGAGTAGACGGGCCGGGCCTTGGCGGGGTTGTCCATCAGGAAGATGCTCATGTGCCGCCGCCCCTCCACGCCGCAGAGCGGGAAGGCGCCGCGGCAGCAGATCTCCCTCGAGAGCGCGTGCATGCCCCGCGCGCCGATGCGGTTCCGCTCCAGGACGAGGGAGCGGAGCGCGCCGAACCCTCCCGCCCCGCCCGCCGCTGCGAGCGCGACCGCGCCGCGTCGCCGATCCGATTCGCAGAGAGGCTCAGCTTGGAGAGGAGCTGGAGCTTGCCTCCCGCAGCCGCGGCGGCGAGCGCGGCGACGCCCTCATCTCCCACCTGGTTGTTGTTCAGCAGCAGCGTCTCGAGGGCGGGCAGGGCGCCCGACGAGACCGCACGGCCGAGGGCGGCGGTGCCGGCGTCGCCGATGGCGTTCTTGTAGAGTGAGAGGCAGCGCAGGCTGTCCATGGTCACCCAGGAGAAGGAGGATGCGAGCTCGGCGAGCCCGCCGTCGGCCAGCGAGTTGAACGATAGGTGAAGCTCGCGGCACGTCGCCAGCGCGCCGCAGGCGCAGGCCTTGGCGAGCACCTTCACATCCGCGTCTCGCAGGGAGCGGTCGCGGAAGAACGCGTCCGAGCCCTCCTTTGTGTGTGGCCGGATGCCGTCACGGAAAGGGAACCTTTGCAGCTCGAGAGCGCAGCTGATGCGATCAGCTTCCAGCCGGGCTCTGATGCGAGCGAAGAGGCGGCTGGCTCGGCTCGAGACGGAGAGCGTGCGCAGCGGCAGCGCCGCGAGGATGTGCGCCACGAGCTCGTCGGGAAGGCTCGCCAGAAGGTCCCGGCCTGGGTTCGATGCCAACATGGTATGTACAGCGAGATGCAGGGTGGGGGCGTGGTAGCAGGACACCGGTAGAATAAAAATCCCGTACAAGGGCTCCAAGTGCTCAGCGGCCTAGGCGAACGATTCCTGGCTGCGGCGCAAGAGGAGGGCACCTTTGCCGAGTGGCTCGACGAGCTGCCGTTTGAGGTGGCCGCGGCAACCGCCCGGCTGCTCAATCAAGCTCAAGCAACCACGCGCGCTCCGGAGCGTGGATCGAGATACTCCCGGCAGCCCTAGCCAGGCCCGGCGCGCTGGCCGCGACCGCGACCGCGGCCCTCACTTGAGCCCGAACTGCCCGCCGGACATGTCGGAACCGTCCGACTATAGTGACTAGCACACCTCTGTCAAGAGTCCGCAGAAACCCGAGGAGTCACACAGCAGTCACCTGTGATGCACGCCCTGTGAGCGGGGCGGGGTGCGCACTGTGCCTCTGTGTTTGTGCGTCGCCCATCTCTACGGGAGATGACTGCTCTATTTATTTATTATTGCTCAGCGGAGGGCGCCTGGGTCTAAATTTAAATTCGAGGGGCCAAAATATGCCGCGAGGAGGGCAGAGTTGCGCCGAAAGGCGGGAGAAGCCGCGAGAGCAAGGGATCGGCAGGCGGCGGCGGCGTCGCAGGATGAGGCAGACGAGAGCGACGCGACAGAGGAGGAAGCGACAGGAGGGAGAACGACGAGAGTGGGACGACCGCGAGGTGGCATGAAGGTTGCAGCGAGAATCGGCGAGGGACTGCGAAGGGAGATAGAAAGAGGCAGACGACCAAGGGTTAGGGTGGGCGACGGCTAGCACCACACTCCTCTCCTTAAAATCCCTGTGTGGTGGCGGCGTGCCGTCCTCCCATCCCTCCCTTGGGTTGTCTGTTTTCTTTCTTTTTTCTAAATTTAGTGCGGTGTGAAGTGTTTATGTACTGCGCATCTTCAGTGCACTTTAGCGCGAATTTAGTGCGAATGTAGCGCAACTTTAGCGCAACTTCAGCGCAACGTTAGTTAGCGCAACTTTAGCGCAACTTTAGCGCAACTTTAGCGCGAATTCAGCGCAACTTTAGCGCGAATTCAGCGCAACTTTAGCGCGAGTTCACTGCGACTTTACATCCAGCGTTACCGGTAGCGAGGTTTAGTGCGTCTTTAGAGTCCATCCGCGCACTAGGATCCAGCCGCAGCCCATCGCTGACTTTCCTCCCCCTCTCCCCCGCAGTCCCCTGCCCACTCGCAAAAGTTCCCCGTCCGATCCCCAACCGAACGAAGGTTTTTCAGCTAAATATCAGCCTCCGGTGCTTTTCCGGCTGCTTCTCCGGGCCCGCCGTCCCGACCGCGGCAAAACGTTTGCCTGAAGCGGGGCGTGAACATAACGACTTTCGCAGACCACGGCCGAGCAGACGAGGGTGGCGCTGCCGTGGCAGCAGGGAGAGGCGAGGGGCACGCTCAACCTGCCGGCGGCGACCAAGGTGGAGGACCTCAAGCTGTGCCTCTCGGGAATCGGTTCTGTGCCTGTGCTCAGTCGGGAGATCTTGCTCTGGAGGGCTGCATATCTAGCCTCACTGGGAGCCTGCCTTTGGGTCACGAGGGCAGGGGCCAGGCATCTCCTGTGGTGCATTCTTGGCAGCCAAGGAGCAAAGCACGCGGCCCTGGCTAGCTGTGGTGTGGCCGGGAAGCCGTGCTAAAGATGCGTGCCCGCACTAAAGAAGCGGGACCCACACTAAATGTGGCTATGGCTTTGGACCTTTGCGAGAGGTGGCGAGCGGAGCAAGAGCGGTGTAGGCGCGTCCACGCGGCGCAGCGGCTCTCCCGCGACCCCGGCCCCTCTCATAGCCGCAGCCGTAGCCGCAGCCCCAACTCTTGCCGCTCTTCCGTGTCGGGTTGTGACGAGGGGTGAGGGGACACGGACGGATTGAAGATCCCTCACACCAAGATCGTGCAGGGCGGGGACACATGTCCCTAAATCCCATCTCGTCTCAGAGTTTGCCCGTTTTATTTATTTATTGTACTGCAGCTGCCCGCACCTAAAGTGAACTAAATGTGGCGCTAAATTGGAGATAAAACACACTAAATATGAGTTGTTTGTCTAAATATGTGCTAAACATGTGCTAAATATGTGCTAATTATCTGCTAATTTTTGAAAACCTCTCTCTAAATTTGCGTAAAGTCGAAAACACACTCTCTCTAAAAGTCGCGCTAAAGTCGCGCTATATACGCACTCGAACACACACTAAATAGCGCACTAAACTATCACTAAAGTTCATTCACACGCACTAAATTTAGACCCAGGCGCCCTCCCCCAGCCCGACGCTCACTACAGTTGAGCACTTGAGCACCGGATAGGGTCGATTCCGCATGGTACGGACAGATGATGACGGCACGCACGAGCGACACACAGACACAAACAGTTCCTTGCGGGTTTGCGTTCGCCAGATCGTTTTTTTTCAATATTTTGAAACCGACGCCGATGACACCGCACGGGTACCGTCTCCAGGTTCTTTCGCGATGGGCCGCAGCGCCGGTCCGACCCGTGTGCTCGTCGTGATCGGCTCGGAGTCGGGCACGACCACCGGCATCATACGTGGCATCGTCTCGAAGTGGGAGAAGAAGCTGGACGGGAAAACCAAGAGCTACGTAATCGAGCAAACCTCGCGGCCGTCGACCGACGTCGCGAGCCTCATGGATAAGTGCGATGTCCTCATCGTCGCGACCAGCTCCTACGGAGAGGGAGATCCGCCGGACAACCTTGAGCGCTTCTTCAACGCCCTGCACGCAGCGGCAAAGGGCGTCGACGGCGCGCCACCGACACAGATTCTGTCCGGGCTGCAGCATGCCGTCCTCGGCAACGGCTCCTCGGTCTACGACACCTTCCAGAACTGCCCGCGGCTGCTCGACAAGTGGATCGGTGAGTGCGGCTCGCGGCGGATGGCCAAGCGCGCCGAGCTCGACGAGACGCACGACTCCAACGACCCGGTCGAGAAACAGGCCGACTACCTTCGCTGGGCCGACGAGATGTTCGGGCTGCTCCAGGCGCTGCCCTCGCCGGACGAGAAGGAGGTGTGCGCGTGGACCGAGCCGTCTGCGCAGATCCTGATGCCGGACGAGCCCGGGCCCTCCGGTCCCCTGGGAACGATGCTGATGTGGATGACGCTCGGGGCGGCGGTCGTCGTCGGCGTTGGCTACCAGCTCTTCTTCCGCGACGCGGCGGCGGCAGGAGAGGCGTGACGGCGCCACAACACGCCACCCGTGCACAGCGCCTCTGTCAACTCTGGTGGGGGGGGCACGCCTGCCAGAGGTATCACACTCGGCGAGTCTGTGGCCATTCTACATGGGTATATTTGGGAGTCGACAAACCGCACGATGCTTTTTACGTATGTAGAAAGTGAGTGCAGAAGAGCAAGAGGGGGGGCGGGCGGGGGGGGGGGGGCGAGCGGCAAGCATTGACAGGACGGAAGGCGGCCAAATCGAGCGGCCTTGCGGAATGTTCACGGCAGACCCCACCCGACACTAAACACACGTAAACCCAAACATGGCGCCGGGGTCTACCGGCGTCGGCGCTTTATGCTTCCCCCCCGCCCCAGCCTGCGGCTGCGCGCGCGCCGACCCCCCACGCGCAAGGGCCAGCTCGGCCGCGGTCGCGCTCGTCTTGCGGCGCTTCTGCGGCGCCGAGGCCGACGCAGCAGCGGGCGCCGCCGCCGCCTCCGCGGTCGACTTGCCTCGCGTCGCGGCCGACAGCTCGGCCAAAGTGAGCCGCGGCGGCAGCGGCGTCGCACGTGGCAGAGGCGCCGGCGAGTGGGTCCGGCGCTTGGGCGGGCGGAAGTCGAAGCAGGCAAACGAGCCGGCGCAGACGGGAGGCAGCGGCATGTCGAGCGGCGCCCTGGCCTGCCGCCCGCTCGGCTCGCCGCCCTCTCGGCGACGCACCGACCCCGCCACGAAGGAGGGCCGCGCAAGGGCGAGCCAGCCCGCCTCCGCCGAGGCCGGCCGGGGCGACTCTCGAGCTCCGAAACCACCGTCCTCAAGCGGGCCATGCGGCTCGGGATCGCGCACGGCTGGCGGCGCGCAGACGCGGCGCGCGAGGTCGGGGTGGGCGTAGAGCCTCTCGCGGCCAACGGCGTCGTGCCTCGCCTCCTCCGCGGTAAGCGGGAGCGGCGCCAGCTCGCGGAGCAGCGCGGTGATCGGAAGGAACGGCAGCAGCGGCACAGCCTGCCACAAGTGCGCACAGCCGCGGCTGTCGAGCGGCACCTAGGGGACGGCAGGGGACGGCCAGGTAAAGTGACCGTCTCTCTCTTCTCTTCTCTTCTCCTCTCTCTGTCTTCTCTCTCTCTCTCTCTCTCTCTCTCTCTCTCTCTCTCTCTCTCTCTCTCTCTCTCTCTCTCTCTCTCTGTGTGTGTGTGTGTGTGTGTGTGTGTGTGTGTGTGTGTGTGTGAGTGAGCGAAGGGAAAGGAACGGAGAAGGGGGAAGAAGAGTACAAAAGACAGACAAGAGAGGAGGGGAGGGGAGGGGAGGGGAGGGCGCACGTCGCGCGGGTAGTAGGCGGCGAGGGGCGACGAGCCCGAACAGACAAGCGGCCGGTACGAAGCGGGCAGCAGCGCCGCGCTGCTCGGCGGCAGCACCTAGAAGGCGGCCCCGAGCGGTCCTCAGGGGAAAGCCCAAGCAGGGCAGACGCGCTGCTCAGCGGCAACACCGCCGCCAGCTGCTGCACCGGCCGCAGCGGCCCCTCGCCGCCCCACGCCCCTATGGACTCGCTGCCCGCCGCGCCGCCGGCCACGTCACCCGCCGCACCCCCCGCCCACGGCCCGTCGGCCGCCGCCGCCAGCTCCGCCGCCACCGCGGCCAAGTCGTGCGCGTAGGGGGCGTAGTGGAAGCCAAAGTGCCACCGCCAGTCGGCGCAGCCGTGGTAGTAGTAGTGTGCGCACCACGCGAGACCACGCACGTGCGCGACACAGAGCGCGCGCAGCTTGGCCGCGTCGAAGTCGCCCCCGAACCTACGCGCCGAATGCACCAACATCGGGGCGGGAGATATGGGGAGATATGGGGAGATATGGGGAGATATGGTCAGCCTACGTACTGAATGCACCAACAGCGGGGCGGGAAGACGGCGCTGTGCAAGGGGCTACGAGTACAACCGAGTACAACCGAGTACGGCTGAGTACGGCTGAAGACAGTCGAATACAGCGGAGTACGTGCCCTCTCGAGCGCCAGTTGGAAAGACAAGAATGCGTCTTCCGCTTCTACGGTCCCGAACCGTGCCCGGTACTCGGAAGCGCGCCAGCCGCCAGTCGCGTCCGTCGCCCCCGAGCCGACCGCGGCGCCGCAGCACCCCACCGCCGTATCCTCGCCCGCCGCACACACTGACGACGCCGCGGCTCGCGCCGCCGCCGCCGACGCCGCCGCCGCACCCGCACCCGCTGCACCCGCACCCGCCGCACCCGCACCCGCCGCCGCCACACCCGCCGCCGCACCCGCACCCGTGCCGCCCGCGCCCGCACCCGCGCCCGCGCCCGAAGCCGCGCCCGCGCCCGCGCCACCTTCTGCTGGCGGGCTGGCCGGCGGGCGCGATGCGTCCGGCCAGTCCGGCGGCGGGGCCTCGCTTGTGGTGGGCCGTCTTGCTCGCGCGCAGTGCGTGCCTAGTCTCGGGCACTCTCGGGTACTCTCGGGTACTTGGTACTCTCTGTCTTGCTCGCGCGCAGCGCGTGCCTAGTCTCGGGCACTCTCGGGCACTCTCGGGTACTTGGTACTCTCTGTCTTGCTCGCGCGCAGGGCGTGCCTGCGTCGGATCGTGCTCTCGGGTACTCTCGGGTACTTGGTACTCTCTGTCTTGCTCGCGCGCAGGGCGTGCCTGCGTCGGATCGTGCTCTCGGGTACTCTCGGGTACTTGGTACTCTCTGTCTTGCTCGCGCGCAGTGCGTGCCTGCGTCGGATCGTGCTCTCGGGTACTCTCGGGTACTTGGTACTCTCTGTCTTGCTCGCGCGCAGGGCGTGCCTGCGTCGGATCGTGCTCTCGGGTACTCTCGGGTACTTGGTACTCTCTGTCTTGCTCGCGCGCAGGGCGTGCCTGCGTCGGATCGTGCTCTCCTCCTCGCGGGCGAGTGCAGCGAGGAAGCGAGCGAGCGGCCTGAAAAGGTCCAGGAAAGGTCCAGGAAAGGTCCAGGAGAGGTCCAGGAAAGGTCCAGGAAGCGAGCGAGCGGCCTTAGCTGCAGCCGGCCGGAGGCGAGCAGGTAGCCGCCGAGCCCAGTGCGCGAGTCGCGGTACACGTCGAGGACCTGAGGGCACGTAGTAGGTGTCTCGGAAGGGTCTCGGAGGTGTCTCGGAGGTGTCTAGGAGGTGTCTCGGAGGTGTCTCGGAGGTGTCTCGGAGGTGTCTCGGAGGTGTCTCGGAGGTGTCTTGGACGTGTCTCCGAGGTGTCTCGGAGGTGTCTCGGAGGTGTCTCGGAGGTGTCTCGGAGGTGTCTCGGAGGTGTCTCGGAGGTGTCTAGGAGGTGTCTCGAACCAAATCAAGCCCGCCCGCTCGGATGGCGAGGTGCGGCAGCGGCGGGAGGAAGTCGTTGCCCACCAGAAACGTCAGAAACACAAAGTCGTCGATCACGCGGTCCCCGTCCCACCACCCGCCCACTGCTGTGGCCGGCGTCGCGCCAGCGGGCGTGCCGGCGGGCGGCATGGCGGGCGGGGTGGCGGGCGGCATGGCGGGCGGCATGGCGGGCGGGACGGCGGTCACGGCGGTCGCGGCGGTCGCGGCGGTCACGGCGGTCGCGGCGGTCGCGGCGGTCGCGGCGGCGGCGGGCGGCGGCGCGGAGGAGGCGGATGGACGCGACGGAGGCGCCTCGACGTGCCGGGCGAGGAAGGCGGCAGGGCGGAGGGCATGCAGCAGGTACTCGCGGACGAGGGAGACGTCGAGGAGCTGGAGGCGCATGCAGGGCGAGTACGGTGACGGAGACGAGAGCGAGGAGAGTGAGGGCAGTGAGAGCGAGAGGGAGGGAGGTGCGGGAGAAGACCGAACCGGGCCGGTCTGAGGGGAGAAGCGTGGTGTGGGGAGAGAAGCCTGGAGGCGGCGGTCGGCGAGGGGTGCCTCGGCCGCCCCGCCCCGCCCCGCCCGCTGCGCCGCGTCGCCAGGCGCCTATCGAAAACAGGAAAGATCGCTACTGCTCGCCGCTCCATTTCTTTTTTCCAGCTTTGGCCGCGTCGCCAGGCGCCTCCACCGCCCGCACCACCGGGCACTCGTCCCGCGTGTGGCCGTCGCGCCCGCAAGCGTCGCAGCGTACGCGGAAGCGCTCGGCGCCAACCGGGACCCACTCACGCAGCAGGTGGACGCGCAGCTCGTGCGTGGCGAGGGAGAGCATCACGAGGTCGGCGTCGAGGCCGTAGATGCAGTGGCTCGTGTCGGGCGCGTAGCCGGGCTGGCGGCGCTGCTGCCGGATGAAGTCCATTATCTTGTGCTCGCCCTCTCCAGCGACGGCGGAGTCGGAGAGGACCACCTCGAGCCGCCTCCACGCGGGGCTCGAGGCGGCGCGCGAGGCGCAGTAGTAGCGCAGGCTATGGCGCAGATCTGCCATGAAGGCGCTGCCGGGAGTGATTGCGTTGTGGTCAAAGCTGCAAGCTGCGCCGCCGCTGCCCGGCTCCGCCGCTTCCGCCGCCGCCGCCGCCTCCTCGCTGACCGGGACTGCGGCGACGCGCCTCTCCTCCGCCGTGAGGAAACGGCGCGAGCGCTGCTGGTCCATCTTTGCACGGGGCGCGACGCCGTCCACCGCAATGTACAGCAGCCGGCGTGGCCTCGCCACCGCAACCAAGCGGTCGACGAGCCGGAAGATCTCGAGCATCATCGCGGCGCGCGTTGCCGGCGCCGGGCGGTCCTGCGGGTGCGTCGCATTGTGCACGAGCCCGTTGAAGTCGAGGTAGAGCGCGTCAAACTCGACCGCGGCCGGCCCGGCAGCGGCGCTCGGCCCGGCGGCCACCGGCTCGGCGCAGTCCGAGAGGCATCGCGGCCAGCGATCGTGCACGTACCTGTAGAAGGTGGGGACGCCCATGGCTCGGAGCGTCGACTTGTGTTCGTGCTCGGGCTTGCCACAGCTTGGGCGACGCGGGCTTGCCACAGCTTGGGCGACGCGGGTTGTGGCGTACGGAAAAAAAGAAAGCGCGGGTTTCCACTCTTTGTTGCTCGCTCGCCCGGGCGGAGGGCATGGCCGCGGAGGAGGCGGGCGCGCGCTTGCCAGGCCTTCCGCAGACAGCCTCTCGGGCAGACTGAGGGTCGGCTTTGCGTGGCGTGGCCCGTGCGCTGCGCTGCGCAAAGCTGCGTGTGCTGAGGGAGCATCTGGTGCTTCCTTTGGGAGGCGCGCACCTCCTGCGACTGCTGGAGGGCCGTGCCGCCGCGCGCCGGCGCGCCTGCTTCGTGGACAGGGGTCAGGGCGGGGAGACGGCGCCGCAGCGCCACAGCCTCCGCTGCAAGCCGGTGCAGCACTCTGCTGCTAGAGCAGGTTGTGAATGAGCTTGCCTGTGGCGGGGGTGGGGGAGTCGCTTAGGCGGCTCCCGTGGTGTACCTGTGTTAGTGCCAGTGCGCGCCAGTCCCGTGCCCAGTGAAAAGAAAGAAAGAAAGAAAACGGACAACCCAAGGGAGGGATGGATGGGATCCGTGCCCAGTGTTGTTGTGCCAGGGCGCCCAAAATTCTTTTCCTCGACGGACCATCTGGCCTCCGCGACCTCCGCACCCGGGACCAACAGGTTAGCACCCCCGGGGACCTGGGTTGAGAGCAGCGGATGCCTACTACAGCTACTTTCCTAACCTGCCTGCTCGCCACTGCGGGCGGAGTACCTGAGAGAGGGTACACGGCGGCGCTCGACGGCGGCGACGAGAGCGTGCTAGTCCGGCCTGGCAATCTGTTGCCGGCGGCGGAGCGGGCGTCGAGCAGCGTCGTGGCAGTCTCCGATCAAGTCGTGAAAGCGGCTAAGCGAGGCGACGAGGCGGAGGTGCTGGCGTGGCTCGACAGCGGCGGGCGGGTCGACGCGATGTACGAGAGAGGCGGCGTGAGCGGCTTCACGCTGCTGATGGACGCCGCCTACTACGGCCACGAGCGGGTGGTCGAGCTGCTGCTGCAGCGCGGCGCGGAGGTAAACCAGCAGAACAGCATGGGGGCCAGCGCGTTGATGGGCGCCGCCGACAACGGCCACGAGAAGGTGGTCGAGCTGCTGATTCGGCACGGCGCGGAGATCGACCTGCTGACCAGCGACGGCAGCACCGCGCTAATGTACGCCGCCCAGGAGGGCCACGAGCGGGTGGTCGACCTGCTGTTGCAGCGCGGCGCGGAGATCAACAAGCAGGACAGCGACGGCGCCACCGCGCTGATGAGTCCCGCCCGCAACGGCCACGAGCGGGTGGTGGAGTTGCTGCTGCAGCACGGCGCGGAGATCAACCTGCAGAACAGCGACGGCGTCACCGCGCTGATGTACGCCGCCCAGGCGGGCCATGCGCGGGTGGTAGAGCTGCTGCTGCAGCGCGGCGCGAAGATCAACATGCAAGACCGCCACGGCGTCACCGCGCTGAAGCTCGCCGCCGACTATGGCCACGAGCGGGTGGTCAAGCTGCTGCTCCGGCGCTGGGGGTTGCCAATGGCATTCTACTGGACGCACGACACGATTCTAAAATTCTACTGGACGAGTGTGCTTACTACTGGCCCGACCCTCGCATACCTGGCGCTTACGGCCCTGTTGTTTTACGCCTTCAGCTTTCTATGGCGATTGTTCGCCGAGCAAGGTCGGAGGGGGCGCCCGCACCGGCTGCGTCGAACGGCGCGAGAGCGCGCCATGGCCTTGCTGTTTTCCGACATGACCGCTCTCTCTTCTTGGTTCTTCCGCGCTCAGTTGTTGTTTGCTTCCATCCCCTTTGTAGTCTGGGGGTGGGCCAATACCTTGCTTTGGACTTTGGTGGGTGTTGTTCGGCCCTTGGATGCGAGAGCAGCGGAACCGGCACGAGGCGAGCGAAGGCGGCCACGAAGGCGTGGGGGGGGTGCGGAGGCAGACGCGGAGGCGGAGGCGGCGCGAGAGTGCGCCCGGCTCGAGGAGAGGCAGGAGCAGCGGGAGGCGCGGCGAGCAGAGGCGGAGGCGGCCAAAGCGGCCAAGGACGCGAGGCGAGAGGCGGAGCGCCGGGCGGCGGCGGCGAAGGCGGCGGCGGCCGAGGCCTACCGGCAGATGGCCAAGGCGCGCGACGCGGCGGAGAACCCTCCTGCGCCGGTGGAGCTGGGCGCCGAAGAGGTGTGTGAGTTGAGACAGGAGCCGTTGCCTCGCTGCTCCTCCCCAGCCACGGTTGCCGGCACGGCCTCTGTAGGTGCTCAGTGCGCTCGAAGCGGCGGTGGAGGTTGGGCGCGGCGGCTTCGGCGTCGTCTATGCGGTGGAGCTGCCTTCGCTGCCGGGCTGGGGCCGCGTTGCCGTCAAGCGAGCCCTCTCAGAGGTGGATGCGAGGGAGGTGATGGCCGAGGTGTCCAACTTGCGGAGGTGCGCGCACCGGGACGTATTGCCGCTACTCGGCTACTGCGGCGCGCCACGTGCGGCTTGCATCGTGACGGCGCTCATGCGAGGCGGTTCGCTCGATGACCACCTCCTGCTCTCCCCTGACGCGCGGGCGCGACTGCAGAAGCGGCTTCAAAGGCACTCCGGGGCTGTCGTGGTCGCAACGACTCTCGGCGCTCTGCGACGCGGCGAGGGCGCTGGTGCACCTCCACTCGAACAGCATTCTCCACCGCGACGTGAAGACGGCCAACATCTTGCTCGACGGCGCGCTGCTGCCGCTGCATACAGCGGGGGGCGAGAGGCGCGTCTTCACCGAGATCACCCGAGATTGCCCTAGATTGCTCTAGATCGCTCGAGAGCTCCACTCGTTAGGCGCGTCTACCGCGCCTTCCTCTCCGACGTCGGTCTCGCCAAGGAGCGGGCGGGCGGGTCGATGACCATGGCGACCAATGCGACCAGCGCCTTCTACTCGACTGGCTTCGCGGACCCGAACTTCCTCGACTCGAACCAGCACTCGGCCAAGACGGACGCGTACGGGCTCGGCATCTCGCTGCTGATGGCGTTGACGGGCGGCGAGCCGTGCAGAGGCCTCAGGAGCGCGTACGAGGACGACGTCTTGGATATGGTCGCCGGCAAGGAGGGCGCCGGCGGCGGGCTGCTGCATGCGGCGAGGCGGGCGGCCCACTGGCCTCAGGCGGCGACGCGAGAGCTGGTCAAGGTTGTGCACGGCCTCGTCTACGAGCGAAAGTCGCAACGCTTGCCTCTGCCAGAGGCGTTGGCGGCGTTCGAGGCGGCGTTGCGCTTCGGTGGCGATGACGACGGTGGCACGGATGCTGGAGCGGCCGCGGCGGCGCCGGTTGCGGCCGAAAGACCGACGGCGTCCGGCGCCGCTTTCTCGGCCAGCGGTGCCACATCCAGCGGTGCCTCGGCAAGCGCTTCGTCGTCGTCTGGGGGCGGCTCTCTGACGCGCGCGGTCGGCGGGCTGCACAAGGAATATGTGGCGGGCGGCGGCGATGCGTCCTTGGCGCGGCTGCAAGACCGGATCAGCAACGCGTATTTGTCCATGATGGGGCATCTCGAGCGGCGGCACGAGCAGTGCGGAGGCGCGCCACTGCCGAAGGGCAGCAGCGAGGAGGAGAAGATCAACGCGCTTGCGCCGCGCAGCGCCGGGCAGTCGCAGCTCTGCGACTCCGCGCACACCCTGCGGCGCTGGTACAATGCGTGCAGGCACGAGCGAGGCCAGTGGAGCGTGGGTGCGCGGCCGAGTGACAAGGAGGTGGCGCGGGTGATTGAGAGGATCAGGGGACTGCTGGACTCGGAGCGGGCCCGGCGGGCGTAGTCCGGTTTGGGTATAGCTATGCCTATGACTAGTTGCAACTCGCGTGAAAAACCCACTCAATTAACCCTTTTGCTTCATAAGGTTCCTGGAGAACAAATCTCGAGATATATATCTCCAGTCGTAGCGGTGGAACTTTAAAACGGCTCGGTAAATATTTAGCCATGCGGTATGAGAGGATTACGCCACAGTGTCGTTTGAGTCGACAGTAAATCTCCCACAGCCCACGTAAATCCGTCTTTTTCAGGCACCCGGAGCCAGCCGCGGCCGCTTCTACGCCGGCGAAGCACCATCAAGCTGCTGTACGGCCCCGGCATCGCCTCCCCTTGAGCACTTGAGCACTGGATAGGGTCGGTTCCGCATGGTACGGGACCCCTCGATCGTCTCGCCCACCCTCACTGGTGTGTTCATTGGGGGGGGTCATGACAAACACGGTACAGGATCGAGGTGCACGCTGCCGAAGCAGTGTCGTCCCCCCTCTCCCCGACGGCGATGGCGGTGTGACCGATCGAGCTACAAGAGGAGCTTGTTCAGCAGGATCCGGGATAGTCAGGCGCACTATCTCACTGGGCCTGAGATCACCACACGACAGCATCCCGTCACCGTCTCGGATTTATGTGGAGTCGAACCACTCCGGGATGGGCAAGCCCATCGATTGTCATTTTGTTCCTCACCTGGGCCCGCGGGGGGGTTGCGGGATGAGTGGAGCTGGGACGGAGAGGGGGAAGAGAAGGGGAGGGCGGGAGGGGGGGGGGGGGGGGGATTTAAGCGGCCGGGGAACGGGGGGGGGGAGGGGGGGGAGGGGGGGCTCAGATAGTCGGAGACTGCAGTCGTAGCAACTCATAGACGTATTACACACACAAAGACTCAGAGCAACTCGCAGACGTATTACACACACAGAGACCGAAGTCCAGGTCACCCGTTCCCGCACTCGAACCACCTCAGACAGCCTCACCCCTGAGGATTGTCCTTCACCTATCCTAGGTCGATGACTGGCTCGCTGTCGCTTGGGCGCTACTCAGCACGGACCACAACTTCATGCTCGAGGCCATCTACGCCGAGCCGTTCTCCTTTCGCTGGAGACTTCTACCGCTGCTGCGGGCAGAGACGGTCGAGAAGAAGCTCAAGGAGTGTGTCGTGCTGACAGACGACGAGAAGATGACCGAATGCTTGCAGGCAATCCCGGGCGAAGAAAAGCGATTTCTGAACACGCGCATCAGCACGCTCAACTTGCTTCGGGCCATCGGCACTACCCCCAGCACGCTGGCCCAGACCGATAACCACGCAGCCTGGTGCCCCGACCGCGGCATGGAGGAGAGTTTCCAAGGCCTCACCCGCTTCGTGAAACTCTTCTCACACACGGAGACCATGGCAAAGACGGCGGCAGACACGCCCGTCTACCGCGGCTCGACGCGCTTCATCACCGGCTCGAACCCGGACGCGCAACGCGAAGCGAGCAGCGCGGTGCTCGACCTGATTGGGCGCGCCGCTATGCGCCCCACATAGCGCTCTCAACCACCCTTGCGCGACGCAACACGATCAGCACCGCAGGCGGGCAAGGGCGGTGACGGACCCGGTCGGCGACCCGCTCTACGTGCTCTGCCTCGGTGCGCCGACCAACGTCGCCAATGCCCTGTTGATTGCTCCCGAGATCGCGGCCAACATCGTGGTGGTGTGGGACGCAAGCTCGAGCCTCACGGACGGGCGAGTGGTCCTGGGCGGTCTCAACCTCAACTCGGATTTGGTCGCGACCCGTGTCCTGTTTGAGTCGGGCGTGCCGCTTCTGTACGTGCCCGGCTTCCCGACCGCGCAGGGGGTGCAGCTCTCAAGACCGGAGATGGACGCTTGGTTCAAGAGCGAGGGTCCCGTGTCGGATGCCCTCTGGGAGCGCTACGCGACCAACCCAGATTACTTCTCCTTTGGCACCTCCAAGTGGAACCAGCCCGGCACCACCCGCATGATGTGGGACACCTCCGTGATCCAGCCGTTCGTGCAGGGGCAGACGTTTGGGTATCGGAATGTCAGCGCGCCGCGGCTGGTGCAGCTCAACGCGACGTGCGATTCACTGTTCGACGTCAGCTGTAAGGGCACCTACCCGGGCGACCCAGCGGGGCACCTGGGAGAGTACACGTGCGAACAACTCTCCGAGGTGCGATGGCAGGGCCAAACTGCGGTTTCTATATCCTCTCGCCCCACCCCCACCGCCCTGCCCATCTCCACCTCGCCCGCTCGCGTCCCCTCTCCAGGACGGGAGGACCTGCGACGACGCCCTCTTCTTGACCGCCGGCGAGCGCGTGCCCACGCACGCGCCGACGCCCGGCGCGGGCGGAAGGGCCGGCGCGGGTGCGTGGGCACTTGGCGGTTGGTGGGTGGGGCGGCGGACGGGCCGGTGAGGCAAGCCACGAGCGGCCGCCTCGCCCTCCCCCAGAGATTGGCGCGGGCCGGTCGGTGGTTGAGATGACCTTCCAGGGTGGGCTCGCGAGCCGGTCCAACCCGAACCGCGACCTGCTGGTTAAGCTGAACCTGGCGGGCTTGTGAAGTGAGCACAGACAGACGGCATGACGTGCACCACCGGCCTGAGCCATCGCAGCGCATTGCGACATTGTTTTCTCCCTTCACCCCTCTTTCGTCGTTTTCCCATTGTTTTGTTATCGTTTTCCTTCTTTCACCCCTTGTCAGAGAGAGAGCGCGGTGAAGCTGCTGAGCGCGCTGGACCTGTGCGGGCTGCTGAACGGTGGCGATGTCGGGCGCGCTGGCGACAACATCCGCCGCGTCGGAGTTGGCCGCTGCCCAGGACACGCAGTACTCGTCGCCCGGCGCAGCCGGCAACCCGACCGACGGCGGGTCGAGCGGGGAGGCGTCTGACGCGCCCGCAGAAGCCCGAGCGGCTGCCGCAGGAGGAAGGGCGCCCGATGCGGCGCTCCCCGCGCCAGGCTCCGGCGCTGGTCCGCGCAGTGGCAGGCCGCAAGCAGAGAGGCAGCCGCCGCCGCAGCAGCAGCAGCGCCACCAGCCACCGCAGCAGCAGCGCGGCAGGGAGGCGGATCATCAGGGCCGCGCCGAGCGCGGGCGGCCCGCCGAGCGCGGCAGCTGCGGCGGGCGAGCGCGAGGGTCAGCCGACGAGCGCGAGGGCCGGCGCGCCGCGCGCAGCCCGTCCAGCGACCGGCGCTCGCGGCGGCGGCGGCGCAAGCAGTCGTCCAGCTCGAGCTCGAGCTCCAGCGAGTCGAGCGACTCGAGCGAGGAGCGGCGGAAGAAGGCGCGGCGCCGGAGGCGCAAGCAGCGCCGCTCCTCGTCCTCCTCCTCCTCCTCGTCCTCCTCCTCGAGTGACTCGGTGAGCTGGCCCTCATGCCCGCGCTGCTGCGCTTGCCACCCGGGACACACTTGCACGCTGCCGGCACTCCCCTCGCCGCCGCCACCGCCACCGCCACTCCACCATCGCACAGTCCACCCCCACC